AGCCCTTTGTTGCTTCAGAGCATTACTGGGATAACTTCCTCTGACTTTTTTTTTCTTCAGTTTTCAAGCACTTCAGTGGTTAATATATTGTCATACTTGCTTCTCTGCTGTCTTTTTTTTCTTTTTTTTTCTCCCAAGATAAGTCTACTAATTTGGTAGGTCTAGAAGTGGCTCTTGTCTAACTTGCTCGTGACTTGACTTGTGGAATTATCTGTTCAGGTGTTTCTCAATTTGTAGCAATCTGTGGAACTATCTGAGGCAGAGAAAGCTTTTAACTATGAAGTGTTTTTTTCTTTCATTCTAAAGAATTTTCCTTGTGTGTCAAATATCTTACTAGGAATTCCTTTTTAAGTGATGATTAGTACTTTCCATAGTATGCTACTGCTTCCTTATTTTACTAAATTTTTCCTTGTCATCCCATAAAACTACTGCTGTCTGGTATGTGGGCAAGATTTGTTAGTTCCTTAGTTAGCCTTCAGTGTTGGGGAAATGCTTTGAATCTGTTTTTAATTAAAGGTAAAATAACTATAGGGAGTTATTTTGAAAAATTACATTTGTTTTGAGGAAATTCTAGCTACTGAGTGTCAAGGCATTACTTTAGAAGGAATGCAGGAAATGGTCTGACGTGTTACAGTTGTTTTCTGCTGGAGTTCTGGGCTGTTGATATGCACTGATTTACAATAGCTATACAGGATTTCTTGAAAATGAATTACCAAAGAGAACTCTGTGGAACTCTATGCTTATTTAACTCTGGAACAGATTATAAAGAGAATTTTCAAGTAAAAAAAAAAAAAGCAGCTTTTAAGAAGATTGTTCTGCAGCTCTGCTCAAGTAGAAAAGTGTGTTAACATGTATGTGAGCAGATGGTGAGATTACTTCTATTTGAGGTAGCAGGATTTATTGCTAATTGAGATTCTATATACTAGTAGACATGTAATGCGCTCTATTGATTTTCTTGATGTTTCTTAGTTTCCTTAAAAAAATCTCTAAATTCCCTCTGACTAAAAATATTTTCATGGTTATATTTTTTTCTATTTGCTAGGGGAATACTTGTGTGAGTACTTTCTGCTTTTATATAAGCCTCCATAACCCAAACTTTTTATTTTGGAATAAATTTCCCTTCCCATTTAGTGGTTTTAATCTGAAGAAGATTGCCAGGCATCTTGCTGATTCTTGGATCTGGATAATAATTAAGTTTTGCTCCTGCTAAATATTTAAAATAGGAAAAAGGGCAGGCAAAACCCAACGTTTTCCTTCTTTAAAAAAAGGAATAATGAGCAGTACTCAATTAAAAAAAACCACACACACAGGTACATAACTAAGCAAAATCTTTTTAGTTGCTATACACACACGTGTTCAAAATTTTTTACTAAAGACAAGATTGGGAAAATTCTGCTTGATTGGAGTTAGCCACAGAGGTGTGCAGGTTTCTGCCTTATTACATCTGATGGAATATATACAGAAAATATTGTATGAATTCACAGTTTAAAACCTGGCATGTGGGATAAAGTCTGGTTATAACTTGCAGTTTTATAAGATGCAGTTTGAAATCTGCAGTCTGGTTATAGAATTTGACAACGATGTGTATGTTGGTTTGGCTTTATAACTGTCCTCTCTGAAGAAACAGCTTATGTGCAGCAGTCATACTGAGTATGTGATGGAGTGCTTGCCTTGCAAAAATAAAAATCAAATTCTGCTTTTCAGATAATCGTTAATAATAATGTTTTTTCTACTTTGGTTATTAGAGGTTGCTGCATTTATAGCAGTATGAACTTGCAGTTTGCAGCACTGTCATGGGAAAACTAAAAGAAGTAGATAAACAGTTGTTGCGAGACTGGGATCTTATAGGCATTACAAGTGAATGTGCTACAGCAGGTGTCTTGCTGTGCACCGCATTTCTGAAGGCTAAAACAACAAAAAAATGTATGTTTATCTCAAGTCTCGAAGTGGTGAAACAGTAGCTTACTGTGAGTAGGAAACTGCTTGGCAAACATGAAGATGAAAGCTGTCAATTTTTGGCAGAAAAAAAGCTTTCCTACTTTTTATGTCACTTAATTTGCTATAGTATGGTTCCTGTTATAGTTCCTTTGAAGGACATGTAACTTGGATTTTCCCTCCAGCCCCCCAAAAATCCTTGTTCTGGCTGCTGTGATTATCAAGGAACACCAGGATGCACTTGATGTGCTGCTTCAAAGCTGTTGTCCAGACAGTTCAGAATAGTCTCAGCAAGTATAATCCTACTTTGGTTTTCTGAATAAAAATCAGAAAAAAATACTGTTCTTTACAATCTTTAGGCATTAGCAAAACAGTGAAAATTACCTTATTTCATGCTACTGCTGTTACTGTGATGTAGACTGACAAATAGGAATTAGAGGACTTCAAAATGAGTTTTTTCAAAAACTGTGGGTTTTTTGCATCTAAGGATTTGACATAACAATTTTAAGCAACCATTAGTTAATAAGATTAAAGACTACCTTTATCTGAGCTGTCTGAGCAGTTAGTGTGTAAAGTACATCAGGCTTCTTATTAGGACGTCATCCGTTGCTAGTAGGCTTAGGCTCTGCAAAATACTGAGTACCCCTTCGGGAGATGTGCCATGACTGTTAACAGGTGAATAGTCTGTCACTTGTTTTGTGTCTCCCTGGGGGTCATTGCACTGCTGAAGGCTGGCTTTGGCTCCTGCAAACTATAGAAGTGTATGTGTTCTGCAATGAAGAATCACTTCGAAGTAAATCTCATCTATGACAGAAAAAATATATAGGTTAAAGATACCATTTTATTTTGGTCTTTTAAAATAAAATGGGGAATATAAGAGCCTGTAAGCTAGCATATGTTTTTCTGCCTGCCTCAATAACAGCCCACTCTTCTCTTTTGTTTTTTATACATTAGCCTGTACTGATTTTACCAAGTCCCTGCCTGAATATTGTCGTTGCCTCTTATTTAAGTTCTGTGAGATTGGGGGCCAGGGGGAAGAGGGGAGACAAAAAACCAAACCAAAACAACAATAGCAAAACCCCAGAAACTAATTCCTTAAAAAAAAGGCAACCTTGTCTGGTACAAACCTAAATAAAATAACAGGTATGTGCTTATGGAGACAAGTTATGAAATAAACTTGTCTGCAGTGTTCTGCCCAGCACTTCTGACTTCAGCAGTAGGAGAGCTAGGCCTAAATGTGCTCTTACATGGAAATTGCCAGAAGCAAGAAAACAGACTGAGGACTTATGAAATTGTTTGCAAACTTAGAAAACTCTGTTTAAAAAAAAAAAAAGAGAAGAAAAAGAGACTTCTCTGGGTTTTGTCCCTACAAAAATGAGAGGGTCTGGAAGCCAAGCTTCGTGAAAGAATTATAAATGGGAAAGTAAACTTAAAAATGCTGAACATGGTTTTACATGCCTATTGTGTTGAAATGAGTTGTCCTGAAATGCTGCTTCAAAATGTTTCTTAATTTAAAACTAAGGAAGTACATGGGGAATATCATTTTCATTTGGTTTAATACCTCAGATCTAACAATCATGTTCAGTTTGGTGGTCGGGGCATGAATGCAAGATACCCCCAGGGAACAGAGCAGTTGTGAGAGGCTATGAGACACATGCATCTCTGTTCCGTACGTGTCACTCCTCTTACAGAGCAGAATCTGTGCTCGCTGTGCAAAGGATACCTGATGAAGGCTATGGTGCTGTCGCTTCCCACCAGCCTGACGGGCCTCTTGTGCTGGCTCCGGTGCCCTGCAGCTCTACAGCAAATCAGATCAGAGAACAAACCTGTCTTAGAAAGTAACCCAGCAAGAAAGTCTTTGGGATCAGTTCCCTGAGCTGTTTCAACAGTCTGCTTATGTAAATAACTGGTGGCCACTGACAGAACTAGAGGTAATGGCCACAAACTGAAGCACCGAAAGTTCCACAGGAACTTAAGGAAAAATTTTTTAACAGTGAGGGTGCCAGAGCACTGGAACAGGCTGCCCAGAGAGGTTGTGGAGTCTCCTTCTCAGGAGATCTTCAAAACCCGCTTGGACGCAGTCCTGTGCCCTGTGCTCTAGGTGTCCCTGCGTGTGCAGGGGGCTGGATTAGATGATCTCTAGAGGTCCCTTCCAACCTTAAGCATTCTTTGATTCTATGATGATTCTATGATTCTATGAAATGGGCAGTGGATAGGTCAGGACTTCTTTGTAGCAGATCGGTCAGGACAGTAGCTTTAATGACTGCCCAACTCTGCAGCTTAATACAGTGCAAGGAAATAGATACAGGGCCTGTTTTTTTTTCCATAGGCTTCATCTGTTTTGAAAATCTGTTTTGAAAATCTGCCAGGATGGTTAAATTCTAATAGCCACCAAAAACCCCTGCTGATTTATCTCTAAGAGCAAGTCCTGTTCAGTGAAACCTTGCTTTAGTGAGGATTGTTGTTTATTTAACTCTCTTAGCAGAAACTCATTATTTGTGAATTTTATCTTGCTATTTGATCTGCTTACTAGCTTTTGCTGGAAAACTCTTTATCTCCTAGAATCAGCTCTAACCTGTCTGTGTTTAACAGCTGTAGAACGAAGTAGAAAGAGTATTGAAAAATAACATACAGCCCAGAAGTTCTTGTGGTAATCTGTTGTAAGACTGTATTAGTAAAGAGACATAGATATTGGCTAGTAATGCTAAGCATGAGATTGGAATTGGATCAGTGTAAGCTGTCACTTCATTAGTGGTAACGGTAACAAAAAGTGACTTTGGCTTGTGTAATAGTGAATGGTACTTCCTTTAAGGGTCTTTTAAAGGAATTACTTAATCAGCAATTCTGCCTAGATTATTGATGTATTTTGCATGTACAATGCAAAGATTCTGCTTAACTTAGTTGTGAAGTTTCTCTTAAGTTTGGCCAAACATTCGGTCTTTTTAAAGCTTCATACCCCAGATTCCTAAGGACATATGTGCAACCCTGTCACTTATTGGTGCGTGGCTCAGTAGTTCCTATGATTTGTCTTATTGCAAGTTTCTAATGCTTCGTTTCCTTTTCAGACCTGCTGAATCTATTACAAAGGCAACGGTGGACAACCAGTACAACGGCAGTGTTGGTTCTTTAAATGGACACCTGCTCTTGCAGTATGGCCCAGATATCCAGTAGCAATGGATTTAAACAGCGTTCGTCGCCTTCTTTGGCAGCTGCGAGGTCCAAAGATGTGGACAAAGAGGAGGCGTTGCAGATGGAAGCTGAGGCGTTAGCTAAAATGCAGAAAGAAAGAGGTGCAGCTGGAAATAAGCAAACTCTTCATTCTTCAAGCAGCACCAGACAAAAAGTGCAGACTCATAACAAGCAGGACCACGATCTTATGGTGTTTCCAGAGTCTGATGCTAAGAGAATGGAAGATAAACTAAGTAGTATTGACATAGAGAAACTTACTCATGCTGAACTAGAGAAACTGCTGCTGGATGATAGTTTTGAATCTAGTAAAGGACCTACATTACCAGTAACTCCCGTTTTGAACCCACCTGTTTCTTCACAGTTTTATCTTGGGCCTGCTGGTCGGAGAGGGCAGTGGGCACCTGGGATACCAGCACCTGCGACTTGCACTTTACCTCCTATTTATCCCCCAGCTTCTTTTACAAAACAGACTGGTGTATTTCAGAATGGATTCCATCCAAGTGTGTCCTCCTATCACTCTACAGAACCTATTTATTTTGGTCTTCCAAGACAGTCGCAATACATTTCATATCCATTGGCAGCTACTATACCTTTCCATCCACAAGGAAATGTTCCCATATATCCTCCAGTAATTACACCAGAAATGGCAAAAGTATTTGACAAAATTGCAAGCACCTCACAATTTCTGAAGAATGGGAAGTCAAGCACTGACTTGGAGATGACTGCTCTTAAGTCTGCAGTTTCTAATCTACCAGCCTCAGAAAGCTGCAGAGACATTAGTAAATTTGACTGGCTGGATTTGGATCCTTTAAGTAAACCAAAAATGGATAGTGTGGAGACTTTGTACAAGGCAGAAGATGATGGTGATGTGACTTCCAGCATGACTGCAGAGGATCCATGGGACGCTGTGCTCTTAGAAGAAAAGTTGTTAGTAACTTGTCATATGGAAAGAAAGGTTAATGGGAAATCTTCTGGAGCAACAGTTACGAGAAGCCAGTCCTTGAACATTCGAACAACTCAGCTTGCAAAGTTCCAGGGCCAAACAACAGAGGTGTGTAAATCAGTTTTCTAAATAACGATGTAGCAGTATTTAAAGATGCTTTATGAACAAATTTGTTTGCTGATTGTTGCTTGGCTTGGATAATATCCAAATAGTGTGGTTGTTACTTGTATATGTGTATTTTAGTGATATTCAGAAAACTGAGCACTACTACTGAAGTAAATACCAAAGTACACAATATGCCTACCCACTCTTCCTAATTTTTAGAGGAAATTGCCATTATCCAACACCCTACAAAAAAAAGAGGAGGGTGCAATATCTAGGTTGAGGAAGTGTTTAAATCATGTAGATAAATATTTAAGATGCTACCAAAAAAAAAAAAAAAAAAAACCCAAAAGATAGTGAAGTAGACATCAAAGAAAAGATGCATTTGAAGCAGCCTTTATCGCAGGTCTGGAAAGTGAGTTTTTTCACAGTGCTTTTGAAATTTCTCTCTTTTTTTTCTTTTTTTTTGAGTTAAAAAAGAAAGCTATAGACAAGACTTATCTTTGCTGCTTTCACTTGCAGGTTTTCACAGGACTTACTGTGTTTTCCTGTAGGCATAGACTTTTTTTCTCTGCAAATACTGGAGAGGTTGTAGCTGTAAAACTTCGGAATATACATCCTCGATGGTGGTGTTGAGGGAGGTTGCTGATTCAGAAATGCTGTGCTTTTGTCGTGGAAGAGGGAAGACATCATCTTGGTGGGGAGTTAACCTATCTGAGGCAGAGGGAAGAGCAAAAGGGCGATCTCTGCTCCGACATCAGGATCACTTTCATAAAAATTTCAATACAAAATTGCCAAAATAATTTTTAGTTATGACATACTTCTCCAGTAAGAGTTCAGTAAATGATCGTAAATTCTTTCTTTTTCCTTTCTTTACTAAAAAGTCATCTTCTGATAAATCTTTGATAAAACAAGAAATAACTTTATAGAAGTTGCATTTGCCACTTCACTAGAAAGTGAATCAATTCTTGTGGATTGTGTGGTGTGGTTTTTTGGTTTTTTTGTTTGTTTTGTTTTTTGTGTGTGTGTGTTTTATGTAGGCAGACTATACAGACTGAAGGAGAAGTCATGGCAGGAAAATTCACTTCTGCAGAAGCTGTGGCCTTGGTAGGGGAAGAATGAAAGATTTGTTTGCTTTAGAGATCTGGAATTGAAGCAGTTTTGAATGTTCTGTGTATTGTTTTGCTAAGTGTTTTTAGCAGGTTAGATACAAGCTATAAAGCCAACTATTATCATCAAGGGCGTTTTGAAAATTGTTCCTCAATCCTTTTCCCCACCCGGCGCCAGATTTTTTTTTCTGGATAAAAGGAAGATTTACTAGGCTTTATTTTAACGGGCTCTTTAAATTTCCACTGAAGTGAAATTTCTGACTGTTCATTTGGAGTATTTCCTGTTGTTCTAGCCTAGTTGTCAGTATTCTGGCAAAAGTCTAGTAGATGGCTAGTGGAGTGAAGGACAAAAAAAAAAGAAAAACAGAAAAGAAAAAAAAATCTTAAGCTCTAAATGCCTTTACCTTTGTTTTTAAGGGATCTGATTTATAAATGATGTGATGAAGGTTTTGTGTATAGCTTCAAGGTGCCCCCCTTCAGTTAAGCTTAGATATGTAAGCACAGCTATCTTGTTCTCATTACAGGGGGGGTAAACTTGGGGTCTTTTGCAGTTTTCTTCTTCACTTTGTGTCATTTTTCTAGTGATGATCATGTTGGTCTTCCTGCATTGTTATAAAGTAACCATCAGCTGGAGTAGCTGGATTGTGCTTCTGATATGTTGATCAGAGAAATTAGTATTTGTCTAATAGTCACTGAGTGTAATGTTTGCTAAAAAATTCCTGGCCTCTTTCAAGAGTGCAGCATTTTTAAAGGGTCCTTCCTATTTGTTAGGTCTAGTGCTCTTTGTAGGTCACACCTTTTCCAGTTCATGAAATTCTGAAACTCTGCCTTAGCAGTTTTTTTCTCCTGTTCCAGAGACCTGACTCTTTCTTCCAGACTCAGGCTCTTGGCTGTCTTCAGAATTAGTCATCTGCTTTTCAGCAGTAATATATTTGTAACCAATTCTAAGCAAAAGTTCTTCTTTCCAGAATGGTACTTTATTTTAAATACCTGCTGTTCCATCATGCTGTGCACACTGGAGGCATGCTGACTTTGTCAGCCTTCGTTGCAAACTCATCTCCCCTTACGAGAGCTCAGTACACACTCCCTTCACATGGGATGCTTTTTGAAGGTGATGTAAGAGAATTTTGCATCTCTGTATAAGAGCAGTGTGCCATGTGCCTTAGTGAAATAAACCCTCATGTGGTAGCAATATTCTGCTCGACACATTTTTGTTTTATTCATGTTGGCGTCACCTTACTATGTACTCATCCTGTAGTCAGGTGGTATAACTGGATCTTTTTTCAGCCACCATCTGTTTCAAACAAACTCTTTCTTTATAACAGAATCTTTCAATGAGTCCTTGATTGCATGTTCTAGATTTTCTTTCCACCTGCATTTCTCTAGTTTGTAGCAAAATAGCTCCTGCTTAATCTTACATACTAAAACTGAAGTAATAAGTTAGATGGTGATAATACAAAATTGCAAAATATCTTCAAGCTGTTTCTCTTTCTTGTGCTCAGTCATAGAAAGAAACCATAAATTGATCCAAAGATGAGCCCAGTATGAGGACTCTAAAGATGAGACAGATATGCCCTTTAAAGATAACCTGCTCTTTTTGCTTTAATTGTTGTCCATCCTGTGCTGCTGCGTTGTTTTTTAGTTTAATAATTGCTTACTTATGACAGTGTTATTTACCCTCTACCTTTGGCAAGTCTTTGTGTTTTACCTCAGTTAGCTGCAGGTAAGTATGTCCCACAGGATGTACTCTGTAGTCTGTCCTAACTAGCCTGGACCGCTTTTCCCTGAGTCACCTCATTATTAGCCTGCCTTTTTATAAACAAAGAATTACACTTACAAATTTCCAGTCATGTATTTTGATTCTGTCATATGATATTTTATTTCTTGAGTCAACAGATGGCTATGACTTTTGTTTCATATTTGATGAAACATGTATGCATTCATTATTCCTTTTAAGCTGCTTTTGTGTTTATTCCTTTGGGAAAGCAGAGGCAAAATGGCCATTTTTGTCCTATTTTAGAAGCTGTCTTCTCTCCCTTTTCTCTTCAGAGCTGAAGAGTCTTTTGGCTTTATATGCTTGTGGGATCTGAATTCACTGACCTTTTCCTGGTTGATAAGGTTAATTGTATTTGTAGAACACTTCTATTTTTGCAGCAGCTACTGATAAAGGCCTTTTTCTCAGACAGTTCTTTATCTAGTTTGGCCTGAAGTTCAAGTCCTGCCTTACAAGTTATTTCCTGTGTGGCTGATAGGTTTCGTGCCTTGATTTGCCCATCTGAAAGCTAAAGAAATTCAAATCTAACTTGTTGCTTAAGAGCATCTTAGTCCAGTGACCTTAGTTTTCTTAGTTTACCAAAACTTGCATTCCTGAAATTATCTTCCAAAAAGAGATCAAATTTGAACACTCTGCAAGAGTGTTCAAATTCAACTAAATAAGCAAGTAGGTAATTTCACATTAGCACTTAATTGCTAGCAATATGTGTCTGTAATAGCATTTATTTCTCTCCTTACTTCTGGATAAATTTGCCTGAGGACAACTGCCTTTTATTTCCTTACAAATCTCTGAAGTGCCAGCAGGCCACTGTGTAGCTTTTGTCCTAAATAACTGGACGACATCCTGCTGTGACATAGAAGTGGCCGCCTTGCATCATTAGTGTGGCTTTGCTCTGAACAATCCCATTGTGGAGCTTTCTTACTCTCTGGTGAGAGTTGTAAAGTGCTTTGATAGCTTTTTGTTCTATTGCCTAGCTTCTCACAGAACAGTGCTTACTCCTAACGGGGAAAATTTAACACTTGTATAACTTCTTGATTTGCAATTATTCCTTTTTTTTTTGTTTTTCTTCTTCTTTTTGTCATGCGCTCAGCTGAGCCTTTATTGAGGGCGTTTGCCTTTCACTTGCTAAGTTTGCTTCCTGTTTCCCTGTGTGCGATTTCTCTGTTTTAAGTGCTTGCTTTTAAGGCATGCGTGGCCTATAGACAGTAGCACGACACTGCTACTGGCATGTCAGCTGGCCTCACACTGCGCCAGAAATATTTTTATGTGAAACAACACACCAGAATGGGAGGAAACCTTTAAACTTAGGGTATCAGGCCTACTCCTGAATCTCCTTCAGGCTTTCTTTGGCTTTGCAGCTTCTTGCACTCATTACTTCCTCACTCTTGCACTCGTTGCATAGCTAATTCCCATTTTCTGGTCTGCTCTCCTTGACCAATTCTAAATTAATTCTACAGGACTAATTCTAAACTTCATGTTCTAAATGCTGCTTCCTTCCAGTGTACGTTTTTTTTTTTTTTCACCCCTGCTTTACAGCAAAAGGCTGAGGCACATCGGCAGAGCTGATGTGTAGCTCTGTCTGTAACTCCATAGTGAAGTTTTGGCAGAAGTTGAGGAAAAAATCACTTGTCAGCTGTTGTCTTCTGGTTCAGTAGAATTCAATGAATGTTGTGCTTGCAACTTAATCACCTTTTAGGAAGCAGTCTGCAGTTCAGTGAGTCTTTGCTTTTCAAGGTGGCAATGATGTAGACATGGTTTATGGAATGTACATAAAACTAATGATAAACACCAGGCTTCTGCAAGTCTCTCCATTACTTGTGGTTTTACAGGCTCTAGAAGTGTGTTTGTAACTATTCAAATACTTTTTTTTTTTTTTTTTTAATCTTTGAGCTGCAGAAAGACAATGGGACCACTGGCACACTGACAGACCACGCACTTCGCCAAGAAATTGAAGGGCAGAACCAAGAGCTGTCAGCTTTTTTGCAAGCGGTTACAAAGTAAGATATTACTGAATGCAAAATAGCTTTCAGAAGTAATGGAATGGCTCAATGAGTCTTTGTTTCTATGTTGGGAAGATAAAATCAGATTTGAAATTTTTCAGAAAGGCAACAGGTCCTGTTTTAAGCTTACTTTTCCTGAATAGGCAGGCTTGGGCAAGTATACCTTTTCCATTTGTCAGAACATTTCCTAGTTTTCCCTGGTCTTGTCGTCTTCTCCAAAGGTACAAAAAAATTCTTAAGCTATTAAGATTTCATTTACAATTTCAGAGATTCTTTTTATGCCTCCTTCAAGGAGCAGGCAAACTAGTAACATAGCCATCACCCTCCCCCTTAGGATCAATGTTTTACTCTTTCTTACCTTATCTGACACCCATTGATTCATCTTATCAGGTGCTACTGTAACTTAAATGTGAATTTCTATGTTGAAAATATTGGGATTAGCCATTTTAAAAATAGAATAGGAGATAAAGGTCCAATAAGTAATTGAGGAAATAAAGATGTTTTAAAAGTTAGTTAACAACAGCCAAGTTCAAAAAACAGGGATGTTTCTGAAGTGAAAAGAAAACTCCATAAAAAGTGAGTAGAGTCTTATACAATATAAACCCATGAAACTTATTGTTGAATCTCATTGAGACCAAGCTCTCAAAGGCTTTTTGTAACTGTTTCTAGTGAAATCAAATTATTGTTATTTCAAGATTCTATCCTGGGCAGCTGTGCTGCCCTGACTGGACAAGCCCGGCTAGAGATAACATTTTTTATTTTTGCTATGGTCAGTAACCAAAATGCTGGAGATAAGTGATCGATCATTGTAGATGAGTTTGGTTCTTAATCTCCTGTGATATTGTTCTAATGTTGGCAGAAATTTGGGATTATTTTATCTGTGTTAAATAGCAGTATAGCTGTCAATACTGTCTGTTGATTAGCAGGTGACTGTGTTTTGGTGCTTGTGTCCTGAAGAAAAGCCTTCCTCTTAACTTATCCTTCTTAATTTTCACAACTTATGGTACTATTTGAAAGATAGTTACTTGAAGTTTATATTGGACTTTGAAAAATTCAAACATATAAAGAGTTCTGTGGTCTTTGAAATAAATTATGTGTCAGTTTTAAATAAATGTTATGGAATAGTGCCTTTTTTTTTTTTTTTGAAACTACTTTAGAGCTTAGCTTCTGCAGAAGCTGAGCTTTGACCTGCTGAATATTTTAAGCTGTATGCAAATCCTACAGTTTTCTCTTTTTATTGTAAGATTACTTTTTTTTCCTGCTGTAACAGATGTTCATATAATTATTGCAGACAATGGTCTGAAAGTAGAAAATTCAAGTGTTGTTGTAAATACAGTTTAGATAAAGAACATTCTTTTCTGTTCTCAGACTTGTAGTTACTATCATGTTCTTTACCTTTATTCATACATATATCTATTGCAGTGTTTCATAAACATTTTCTACTTACAGTTTGAGGACCAAGTTTCCTTATGATAATCTACAAACAAATCCAGGTTTTGTGCTGAGTCCAATCATGCTGCAAAGAAATATAAGTGGAGAGAGTGCCAGTATCAAGATTTCTATAGAAATCAAAGGATTCCAGCAGCCAGTAACTTTTACATGTGATGGTATGTTTCTGCTTTTTAAATTGGAGCTTGCTTTAAACATTTAACAAGCTGTGGGCTGAGACTGTGTATTCATCCTAGACCAATGACATTCAGGTTTTGCAACCCCTGCGTTGTGGGTGTGTGGGCAACTGGCAAGGAATCTGAAAAGTGTAACTGAGGAACAAATTCTGTGTCAGTGCCTCCATCAGGAAATGTTTAGAGGCTGTGAAAGTAAGGTAAATCAGTTTAAAAGAAAGTGAAAAATGACTTTCTGAGAGTTAGACTGATTAAGGGTAATTTTTCCCCTCTAGGACTCTTAGTTATTTTATATCATTTATTTGTTTATCAAAGATGTGTCTGAGTGTTGAAATAAAGCTGTTTCAGGCCGTCTGAAAATTCAGACAAATAGGTGTCAGGAAATGATAATAAAAGTTGAAGCTACTTTAGCTATGGCACTACTTGAACGTGTGCTTGTGAACACTAAAAAAATTGTAGCTCACCATGCTTCAAATAAGCGGAGTGGTTTGTAGGTGAATGTGAGTGTCAATTTGCAGTGTTCTTTTGAACAAATTCGTATTTTCTCAGCAGCCAAGATTGCACAGCAATTGCACATTAAAGTACTTCAAAACTCAACTCTTCAGCCTTTACCCCACTAGAACCTACTAATGTTTTGCAGGGGGTTCTCTTTTCCAGACCATGTCACCTAGTAGCGTATCTTTGCCACAGCATTTCTTACCAGTGTCTGGTTTTCTACCTGTAGCAGTGTAGACCTTTGAGGATTGAATGTACTCCAGAGATGTCAAGTTGCTTTTTTGTTGGCTTAAGCTAGCTGCTGTGTCAGAAAACAAGTTCTCAATGCACAGAAGTGTTCATTCTCTAGCTTGCCAGACCTTATAGTTATTCTGCTGTGACTAATACTCTTAAGAAATGAGATGGTTCTTTATTGTAGGCTAAGGAGTTTTTCTGCTGATTATCCCTAAGATTAGACTTTTCCTAAAATTACAGACTTTATCCTTCCCTGCAAAAGGTTTTAATAGTGTAAACTGAAATTTTATAGCTTCAATGCTCTATTTTTAGAAGTTCTATGAATTCCAAGTAGCCTTGGAATGCGTTACGCATTCCGTCTCCAAAAGTCTTATTACTCTCTGTGCTTTCTCCTCGCTTCCTTTCCTGATGTGGAAACTAAGTACAGTTAAAATACTTCTGTAGCTAGTGAAAGACGGGTGTCTTTAGCTCATGCTAGCTAGGTGGATTCACAGTAACTGTCTACTGATTGTTTCTGTTCTTAGTTTGACTGTGCTGCGTAGCTTGGCCTCCTAATGCTAAAACTACTGTAATGTGGTGTGCGTTTCTGCTTAGGGGGAACTACAGCTCTTCGGTGCCAACTGCTGTCTAGGAAAGACCCAGAAGGGAACTGGAGTAGCTTCAGAGCTTATTTCATTAATACCTCCTGTTTTTTATTAGATTTACATGGAAGTACAAAACTATTGCTGCCATTCTCATGTGTTGGTAAGAAATTAATGACTGCTAATAAGTGTTGCACCTTGTGAAGAAACGGACTCAGTCTGGGGTGCAGAGTGAGACAACTTTATTTCCAAACCGACTTCTTTTTATACTTTCTTAACACAAGTGTTGCAAAGCGCACAACCAATCAGCATCTGGCCACCTGCGCGGTTGTCTGGCTTTGTTTCTTTTCTTCTGGCAAGACACGTCGCACACGAGGCAGGGGGAGGTGTTCCTCAGTCCTCGTCTTTCTCGGCTCTGTCCCCCATCTGCTGCAAAGACTGACACCCTTGTGGTTAACTATCTGCTAACAAGGTACTATTGTCTTTGAACAAGCCTCCACAAATAAGATCAGGAAAAAGAATTATAACTCCATCTTTGCATTACCCCACCAGCTGTTGCAGGGTGGGCTGGCCTTAGCCCGTATAGCCTAACATACAAACTGTTACTGCATTTTTTTTTCCACTATTAACCAACATATTCTACATTGAAAGCAGTACCTCAGTTGAAAAATCCCAATTTAATGTTTTTTAAATGTTCCTATTCCGCTCGCACTAGTGAGTAGAGAGCTCTAAACTTTTGTAGTTATTTTCGGTTTCAGCTGTATTTTTTCTGCATACAGCTGAAATCATTTTAATCTGTAGCCTGATTTTACATGCTTTTTTTTTTTTAATCCCTAGGAAAGTAGGGTTACAGAGGTGAGTTTTGCTGCTGGGTATTTTTCTTAGAAGAACTCTACTCAGCTTTTTTTCAGAAAACTGCTTGTCATTCGGTTTAATGTATAAAGCAATCCTGGGTTTGTGTTTCTTATCTCTCCCTGTTCTTGAGTTCCTTCACGCTTATTTTTCACATGCTACCAAATACTTCTGTGCTTGTTACAATTAGTCATGCATTAGAGGTGAAGCATTTGCGTTGTTCCTGTTGAAAAATGTAGTTGTGTTTCCCTTGTGTATCCACTGCAGTAGTTACTTTTTTTTAAAGACAGACAGAAAGAGCTTTATGAAAATTAGGGAGGTCAATGAGGGGGAATAAAAACGTTAGAAGGAACTGCTGAAAACATACAATTCCTCCATGTAATGTTCTTATAGAATTATTATTCTTGTAGTGACATTGCCAGAATACCTTTTTAAGGCAGGAAAACAAGAGCTAGGTGAGGAGGTGTAGCGAAAGGAGTGGAGTATTGTGTACTTTAAACTTCTGTGCATGTATAAAAGCATATCTATGCATTCTTCCTCAGTGTCAGCTGGTGCTGTGGGAGAATGGATTTTTTGGCTTGACTGGAATTATTTCTTTTATCTTGTGGTTGCTGGATTGAAGGGGAAGAATACTTCCAAAAAAGCATTTGGAACCTGATATGAAAGTATTGGTAGTTATGAGCTGCGTTTTGAAAGCGTGTGTTGATGCTTGCTAAAATCTAAGCACTACAATGTAGAAGCTGCCCTAGACATAATTGAGAGGGACTTTTCAGTAGGACTTGCCTCTGCTACAGTTGACTAATTCATCAACCAGAATTCAAAAACCAGAACAAGTAGCAAAGTTTAATCTTTAGCTCTTCGCATAGAGTTTTTAAACTAAAGACAGCTCTGGGCTCCTTTAAGTGTTTGAAGTGCTTACTGAATATGACTTAATGCTATGAAAGAAGATTCTATTCTAGTATATATATATAAAAAAAAGTTAAAACAAATTGCACATTAACAGTGTTTTCAAACTTTTGGTTAAGGGGGTATAACGCATCCTATTTTAAAAGGGATTTAGTGATTTCTGAAGCTACAGGCAGGTTTGTAAGATATGTTTCTTTGCTCAAATGATGAAACCTATGAACTTATAGAAGCATAAGAATCTTCTCTAACAGTCTAATAAATCTCAATAAAGAACAGTTACAACTTGAGTGAAAAACAGTTAATCTTGATTGCTGTACACACACACGTAATTACTAGATGTAATTTCTTTAAACAGTGAGTTCCCCTGTGGAGCTTATAATAATGCAGGCACTTTGCTGGGTGCATGATGACTTGAATGAAGTGGACATTGGCAGCTATATCCTGAAAGTCTGTGGCCAAGAAGAAGTTTTACAGAAGTAAGCAAATTCTTTTTCATTAATGTTTAACTTTTTGATTTTTCATGGCACAGTTACTGGAAAATATGTCTTTAATGATTAAATGCCTGAAAGCAGAAGTATCTTTGTAAAATGTAGAAGAGGCTTTTTTGCGTAAAAATTAATCTCTTTAAAGTTGCTCTGGGATATGACAATGTTGGTCTTCAACAATTTCCTAGAATTTTCTTCTAATCTACACTTGTTTGTATGGTGAACTTGTTTGTATGGTATTCTAAAATATAGATTTCTCTATAGTCTTTCTTTAGATGGAGAGGATGGTGTAGCTTATGACTGCTCTTCAAACACCAGCAACTAGATAAATATATTGATGCACTTTGTAATCATTTGATATAATCTAATTTTTTCATAACTATGACACAATATTTTCTAGGGTAAAATACTTTCCATAGTAGCCGTAATAGTTAAGAGCTTCAGCAAAAACATAGGTATCTGCAATAGTATATTGGGCCTTCTGCAGAAGTCAAAAACAGATCAAGAAATATCTTGTGGATAATATATATATATATATATATATACATATATATATATATATGTGTGTGTTTATATATATGTTTATATATATTTTATATGTATATTTAAACACCTCATTATTTGGAGCCTAACAAGCTGCTTTAGAATTTCATCTGTGAAGTCACTGCTTTTTTAATGCGAATAATGATAGTTTTTGTTTCATTTTCATTCAACAGTAAGCACTGTGTAGGAAGCCATGAATATATCCAGAACTGCCGGAAATGGGATACAGAAATTAAACTGCAGCTCTTGACCCATAGTGCAGTGTGCAAAGAATTGGCACGAACAGTAAGTACTTCCTGAACTTTAGTAAATTTGATTTTGTTATTCTGAAACCAACTCATATAAAGTCAGGTGTATTAGTTAGAGTGGTAGAGTTAGGAAATAATTCTTGCAGGAAAATATGTGGACTTTTGTCAACATCTAATTTCTTGGCTTTGGGACAATATTTAAGGAGATCTATTTTCTTTGACCAGCTTCAAGAACTTGGGAAAATTTGATGATCAGAGTTGTAATCTTGTATAGTTAAAAAATCTACTTATTTGCCGTGAATTGTGTTCTATCCTACTAAAATGAAATGAAATGCATAGTGAACTTTGGCAAGCAAATTACTGTAGCTGGAAAACAATATGCAAGCTTTTACTCATATCTTTAGACCTGAAAAAGAAACAGCACATTTCAGAGTTAAAAACAATATGAAAACAGTTTTGAAATTTAGATACTTGATACTGTGAGAGTGGAATTAGATGCGCAATTGTAATCTTATATAGTTAAAAAATCTACTTATTTGCTGTGAATTGTGTTCTATCCTACTAAGAGGAAATGAAATACATAGTGAACTTTGGCAAGGAAAGATTTTTTAAATGTGAATACTGACTCTTAGATCAATTACTGTAGCTGGAAAACAATATGCAAGCTTTTACTCATATCTTTAGACCTGAAAAAGAAACAGCACATTTCAGAGTTAAAAACAATATGAAAACAGTTTTGAAATTTAGATACTTGATACTGTGAGAGTGGAATTAGATGCGCAATCCTTGCACTTTTCTTCCTCTGTCCCAACATGTTGCTGTTTCATAGGCTGTTAGCTACCTATTTCTTCTCCCCCCCCACCCCACCTTTTGAAGAGATCACATTTTATCTTTTCCCTTATACTCCACAGGTGATGAAAATTCTTAAACAATATTTGAAATTATAGAATGAGACCCAATATCTCCTGTTTTATTATAGGAAGAAGATGATAGAACACCTGTGCATCTAACAAAACACCTCTACAAAGTAGAAAAGCCTTTCAGAGATGTTGTTATAAGGTAATGCTGTGAGGTTATTTTTATAATCAAGCTCACTATTGAACTTCTGAGTATGGTGATGTTACACTCTTGCACTTCTGTTCAATATTATTGCTTGTTGCAGGTCTTCTGTTGAAGAGCTTCTTGATGCCTATCATAAACAAATTGAGATAGTGCTTAGAAATGAGGTAAGCTTAATGAGCTATTGCTGCACTAAAATTAGCATGAGACTTTCCAACTGTCTTGTTAGGAAACAAAGACCAGCTGAAGCTCTTGAAAAAGTAGATCTGAGAAAACTGTCAAAGGTAGATTTAGAATCATGGATTTGCAGATTTCTTTCTCTTTTCTAGCAAACAAGTATAGTCTCAGCTATAATAGAAAAGCTGTGCCTTCCAAATCCTGGAATGCCAAATAACCTTTTCTTCAAAATTGCTACAAAAGATTAACTTTGATTAAAAAAAAAAAGAGAGAAGGCTGGAATCAACATTGTTATCAGTATATCATCATAGCATTCTTAGCACAATTACAATCTATGCAGAAGCAAGGAACAGTAGTTGTGTGCAATGGGAATTACTACTGAAGTACGTCTGAACATTTAAGTTTTACACAAGTGTAATACCTTATTCTGCAGCGTTAGATTAAGTGATATTGTGTTGTCAAAACAGTAGTGTATATTCCACTGTGTCATAGGTAGCTTAAAAAAGCTTGCCAGTGAAGATTCATGTGAGGTAATTTTCCAGATGCAGAAGCTATCTGAAGATAAATTAAGCTAATCTTTTTAGGAATGTTTAAAGTAGGTTAACTCCTGGTAGTAACTTACCTTGGTGACTTAAGAAACCTTAGGTAGCTCTTTTAAAAGCAGTATTTACATATTCCCTTGGTATCATTGTGAAGATCATTCAACTCCCTTGATGGTGATTCACAGTGTTCTCAAGGGTAGCTTTTGAACACAGTCTTATTGTAGAAGGGTGAAATGTTACTGCTATCTTGTGTGGTGCTTTCCTTGTTGCCTCGCTCTTAACAGCTGCTCCAGCTTGCTGGTTTAATGAAATTTCACTGGCTGAGCTGAGGAATGCAAGAGTTTCTCACTTGAATGTCATGTTCTAATCTTTCCACATTTTTTTTTAAAGATGGGAGATGTAGCTTTTAGATGGTGATTAGATTCACGTATCAGCAGTCAACCCACTTAAAAGTTTTGATTTCCTGGAGTGAATTCCTTTGCAAATTCAGTGGCTGAAGATTGCTAATGCAAGTGAAAGAGTTTTAATTTACCTGCAGATAAGCTATCCATAGCTCTTAATTTTACATTTATGGACATTTAAAAGTTGTCTTTTTATTCAGATAGTCTTGAATGTCTATAATTCTTATCAAAATAACCATGGTAATTTTGTTTTTGATATGCTCAGGGAGTTATCTTGGGAGTGTTAGCTTTTGACTTTGGGCTTAAATATTTACAATGAAGTCCTCCAGGTTATATGGTTATTTTCTTACAGGGAGCAAGTTAATTGTTGTGAGGCAATTGCCATTTCTTTTTTTTTTTAAATTCAAACTGCTTCTTTGTAGCCAAGTCCTGGACTATGCAAGGTGTGGGGTAGAAAGATCTAACTACAAACGTATTATAGTAACTCCTCTTACTTAGTTATAAATTAATGGTATGGAAGGCAAAAGATTGCCACAAATTTTCAAATGATTCCTTCAAGTGAACTTCAGAAGTCTTTGCCTAGAGCTAGGTGGTACAGGTAGAAAAAAGCTGGAGCCTTCCACTGTGTGAGTGGGGCTTTTTGGCGGGGGGAGAGTAGGGGCGATAAGGAGGAGGAACCATTCTAAAATCCCTACTGTTTGTTTGCTACCTTGATAACTGAGCTATAAGGAAATTTTTGGTACTGAGGTATTTATGTAATCAAATGGTTACACTACAATTAGATGTATTTGAGATTTAAATCTCCAATGAATTTTTTCTTAGTAGTTGATTCTAAAAATACGTTTAAAGCAGACGAGTTTTGCAGCTGTGATCAGGTTTATGTATTCTTTCACACTTTTCTTTTTAGAACCAACATAAAGCAGTAGAACATGTAATAAAGACTGTCAGAAAAATCTGTTTTACGTTGGATGGTGTAGAGACTCCTGCAATAACAGAATCTGTAAAGAAGCTAAGGAGGGTGGTTAATCTTCAGAGGACTAAAAACACTGAGGTAGACCTTCACGCTCCAAATTGCATTCTAAGGGTTGGGCGCGTGGGGGGGGATTTTTTTATACTATTTCAGAGTCTTTGATGGTTCTGGGTGTCTGCAATAGTTTAGTGAAGATGAACTACTACTAGCACCTTTTGCTGTTAATACAATTTATCATTTGCTCTGGAAACCTTTACTGTTCAAAGTAACCACTTTTTAAAGCTTTGAAAAAATACTGTTTCTGGTTCTGTGTACAGATCTGTATATCAGCAGATGGTGTTAAATCTGAGTAAGTGGGACTGATGGGCAGCTCATGTCCTCTGAAATCAGTGCCTCTCATAGAAGAGGAATTTGCATTTTGTATTTTCTATGTAATATTTACATAAAATGATAGCATCTTAAAACTCTTAACCATTATATTGCTTGATTTCTGAGCACATGAACAAAAAATCTCAAATATTTCATATGATCTCAAATAGTGCCAATTTTGATTGAACTTACAATGAGCAGTTCAGTTGAGCAGAAGTCTCAAGTCACTTTATCAAAAATTGTCACTGACGGAGAAGTGCAAATACAAAAATGAGATAGCTTTGCAATACTAATTCTGTTGTCTTGTAGTCAGAGTAAAGTGGGAATTTATGTGTCCTTTTTCCATCTTTCTCAGATTCATCAGTTTAGTGGTATGTTTGCCGTGCTAAGCTGAACTCATGCAGGATGCACAGGGCAAATAAAATTCTTGCAGGAGAATACAGAAAATACTTACTAAAGCTTGGTGAAATTCAGTATATGAAAAAATTCTCCAGAGTTTGTTTTTGGTATGGAAAAGGTATAGCAATAATTGGATTACAGTGTAAAAAATACTTCCAAAAAAGTTATCCCAAAGAAATTGGAAGAAGTGCATCATTACTAGTTTAAAAAAAAAGAAAAAAAAATCATTGAAAATTGGCTTAAATTATAATATATACACTTTTTAAAATTGTTTATCTATTGTGGGAAGAAATAGCAAAAAATTTAAAGAAAGAAGTAGAATATCAAATAGAAAATAACATACATTGCAAGTATTGTACTGTATCAGTGGCTGTCAGTCTGCTATCCAAAGTACTTGCAGTACGTCACAATTAAAGTGGGGACATTTGTTTTTAAATCCACCAACATAACCTCTGATTTAAAGTTGGTTTTATCAGAAGTAGAATTTGGCCTGAAATTCTTCCTTATTATAAGGGAGTAAATTCCCATGATTAGTTTGTCTTTAGACTGCAGCAATGTCCTTGTTGAGAAGAGAGATCTCTGTAATACTATATCATGTTTTGACTTTGACTTTTAGCTGTTTTTGTGTAATGCTGTGAATGTAGCAGATAGAGCTAGAAGAAGGTTTCTTTAGTTGTTTAACCACTAATGTTTTTATTCAGGAATCTGAAAATAACCCTGACTACAAAAGAATGTGTTAACAAATGCTATAAACAAAACAACTTTTCAGATCCAACTTGCTGTGTAATTGGGCTTTCAATCCTAACAACCCTGCTTGAGTTTTGTCTCAGATAAGTTTGTATCTGTGAACAATATTCCAATATGCTGTGTCTTTTAACAGTTTCTAAAAGATACTAAAATAGTTGTGACTTGACAACCATGAGCCTTTGAACTTGGGAAAAATTTGCTACACAGAAGGGAAGTTGAGATGTTGTCAGTTAACTCTTAAGGAACTGTGAGTGCAAAAAGCCCAAATATGGACCTAATTCAGATATTTCGTAGTTGATCTGTACCAGACACTTGTTAAGAACAGTGGATGAATATGGGTTTCTTCATTCTGAAACTTGTTCCAACTTTACTACACAGGCATCCTTAAAATGTGGCGAGGACAGTAGCAAGAGCTCATCTGGTGAGTTAAGTTCTTCAGTCTTATTTACAATTGTTTTCAGGAGTCTGCTTTAGGAAAATGTATATTAAAAATATGTTACAATCTAGGTTCACTGCGAAACC